GGCTACTGCTACGGTTGCAGCAGTGGGGTGGGTCGACGCGTCGCTCAACGGTGGGTCTGTGCCACGGCGCCACGGCGCCCGCGTCGCTCGCCCCCCGCCCAGGGAGAGGGCCGCGAGAGAGAGGAGGGGGCGCCAGACGCTTCGCAAGAGGAGACGCGGGCTGAGCGAGGAGCCCCGCGGCCCAATCCTGCCGCGGCCGCGACTGCGCCTCGGAGGGGAAGGAACAGCCGCTACAGCGGGGGCGCGCATCAATAAACCATTTGCTTTTCGTCAGGGCATCCTGGGTCGCTTTGCTCCGCGCGCTGCGCGTCGACTTCCCGCAGCCGTTGAATTAGCTGCTGCATTCAGGGCGCTTTGGGTTTGCCTTCAAGTGCACTCGCGCGCGGATTTTCAGGGTTGGGTTTCTTGCAAGGGTTTCTTGCAGCCGCGCCCGCACTGTAGCAACACCCACGCTTCGCGCGGGAATCGCACAGCCGGGCGGCGCAGCAACGCCTTTCCTTGGTTGGGCCGTCGGCCGCGGATCCGCCGCGAGCTGTGGCCGATCCGGGTGGGCGCCCCGAGGGCCTTGAGGGCTCGAGAGGCGCTAAGGAGGCAGAGCGCCCGGTATCCGTCCACTTCGAGCACGGCGAGCATCATTATTGCGCGAACAACTATTCGGGCCAGCTGCCTGGCATCGGCTCGGCAACGCCAGAGGGCAAGACCCAGCGCCCCGCTCAGCCGGGCCCTCGCCGGAGCCGAGTCTGACAGAGCACGACAGCCCCGACGAAGAGCCCAGAGGCAGGAGAAGGCAAGCGCGGAGGAGGTCAAGGCAGGAGGCGGAGCCGCACCTCACCAGCAGCCTGAGGATCCGCCAGGAGGAGGGGCGAGCTCCCCAGGAGTGGCTCAAGGGCCCCAGGATGCCAAGGCTGGCCATGGCATGCAGCCGCGAGGAGAGTAAGGCATGGCATGGGCAAAAGCGTGTGTCGAGGCTGCTCTGAAGTGACTCGGCGAACAAGTTGGACATGACTTGCTGGGCCTGGTCGACGCCGCGGAGCGATGCCTGTTCGGGTGCCACTGGGCCATGCTGCAGTGGATCGCGACGGGCCTGGTGGCGATCGGAGTCGCGACGGCGCAGGGCTCCGCGATCGGCTTCGTGGCTTGGTTTCTGAGGGCTCTCTTCGCTTGCTGCGGCTGCGTCTGCACCGCGGCGCGGGGCTTGGCGCGAGGCAGCCGTGCGGGCCACGATGCACGCGCGGCTCTCGAGGGCAACCCCAGTGCGGCCTCGGTCTGGCGCGGGCCCAAGGAGCCCTAGCTTTTCGCGGCGCAGTTCGCGACGGACGAGGTGCTTAGTTGCCTCGATATGCCCGTTTTGAAACGCAACACCTCCCGTGCTCGAGACGTCCGTGTCGATGCGTTGCGTGCTGGCTCCACGCATTGGACTACGTTTGGGCGAATGTGTCGCGCCGGACCTACGTTTCCAGCCTACGTGTTGAGCTCCGTATCAATACGATACGCGTTGTGCGTTGCGCATCGGGGCAGCCGAGACGAGGTCAGAGCGAGGGGGGGGGCGCGGAGAACATGGCGCCGAAGAACCTTCTGGGCAGGCCTGGGGGCTCCGCAGCCAGGTCCAGGCGCGGGCCGCTCAAGGGCAGCAGGGCCACGCGGCACGGCTACGTCTACCGCTTCAAGGAGGTGCTGGATAGCTTACGCCGCCGCCTCAAGACTGACCTGGGCACCGCCAGAGACTCGGGCGGAGTTGGCACGGCGCAGTTGCGAACCATTGTTCTTTGCGCGCTACCCGACGACGGCAAGAAGATTTCGCGCGCATGCTGCTCGTGCGTGGCGGGCCACAACATCGCGATCAAATGGCGGATCTGGGAAAGCTCGCGTCATCGGTCAGGGCGCGCACGGGTGGTCCAGCATGCTGCTCCTGGACGTGCAGGGGCGTCGCGAGGATGGAGAAGGGGCCCGCGGGCGCTGCGCCAAGAGGCGCCCGAGGCACCCTCGCCCGGGCAGCGGGCCCACGGAGGCAGAGGTCAGGGACCCGACCTCGCAAACGGGGTCGGGGCACTGCGCGGGCGTCTGCGAAGCGCGCCGGATCGCCCCCCCCCGCCCAAGGGTGCCCCTTCTGATCCTCTACCCGAAGGGGCGCAAGGACTCGACGAGGGCGGAGCCCGCGATGATGATCGTCGAGGGAACGCCTCTCTCGGACGCGCGGCAGGCCCTGGAGTCAGACATGCGTCAGCCGCGCTGCGTTCCTTGCGGGTCAAGTCCGCGAAGGCGCAATTTCCTCGCGGCGCCTGGGAATCACAATGCCCATAAGGGCGCAGCAGGGAGAGCAGACGACACGCCCGATAGCGGCCTGGACGACTTGCAGAATTACTCTAGCCAAATGCGCATGCAATTCGTCAAATCACGTTCGCTGGCCATAAGCCCCGCGGCTGTAAAGCGATGTATAGTGCTCGGTCGCATTTCGGGCACATGCCCGTTTATGGGTCGCCTCTGCTGATGTCATACGTACTTCAGTGGATAGCACGTTCGCAGTCGACGAGATCAGCGGTCGCATGGAATTCGGCGACGCCGCGGCGACTCCTTCTGCCAGGGACATTACCGCACAATGACGACGCACACCAATGGAATACTGCAGTCGGCGCGGGGCCTATCTTGTTCTTTCAGTTGGATTTCTCTGCCATATCTTCAGCTGAAGACGCCAGCTGTCACGCGATGCTTCGCTGATTCCAGGAAGGTTCTTGGCGGCCGATGCTCATTTCCACCTTGGGTTCGCCGGAGCGCCCAGGTGCGTCTCGCTGCTTCGCGGAGAAGGATTACGTTCACGGTCGGGGTCGGAATCGTAATCAGGCAAGGAGTCCAGCCGAGCAGCGCGGCATGGCGACGTGTTTCTGGAACGCAGAGGACTGGCTTTCTGGAGATGGCACGATGTTGTAGCCCAGCACCAATTTCATCTACCAGCTTGTCAAGAAAGTAACACAGAAATCATTCACATGCTCGGGCTTGTCAACATCCGGCTCAGTATCAGGGGCCAGCTAAGCTCTGTCAAGGGACTTAGGCGTTCTGATTTCGCAATCGTGTCGACTGCATTCCGTTGATGTGGGCGTGCAGTGGAAGCGCGTCTCTGTTGGGTTCATGGTGCAATCCAGACTGGCAAGGAGATGCCCGGTTGGTTCCGGGCCGCTGCGGGCAGCGCTTGCCTCCCAGGTCGATTCGCAATCGAGATGCGCATCGTCTTTGATTGCCGCTTCAGTCTGGCGCATGCGAAATCATCGCCCAGAACATAATCAGCGCGTTTGAATTCGTCGAATTGTGCACCTCCACAAGTTCTCTGGGCGCATCACAGCGCAACTTCCACTTGATCCGCACGCGCCCACCTGGAAATATGCTGGGGGTCAGTATCAGGACCACGTTGAGAAATTAAACTCCAGAGGGCAATTGCGCCAATTCAATGCGTCCCCTGGAAGAGAATACCCAGATGCATCCCTCATTACAGTTGGGTAATTCATGTGGAATGAATCAAAAAATGCGCCAGGGGACAAGCGGGTTGCGGTTGCAACCAGTGGAAATTGTTCGAACGCCGCCAGGCCAGCAGTGCGCGCGCACTGGCTGCTGTTCCAGCTGCGACATCATCTACAGGTACGCAGTTTAATGATCTAGTACATGTGCGAGCGGTAGGAATCCAAGGATGTAAAACGGGACGTTCTTCGCGGCTGACCTTTCCAAGCGCCGCCCCCGTGTTCAGATCAGATTGCGCAGGCTTGCGGTAAGCGTGGCGCATCGTTCCCGTCAGAGCGAATTATGATGTGGCGCATCTGGATGAGTTTTGACGTCATGTTGGTATCAAGTGAACAGGACGCTGTTTAAGTCAGAAGGGGTCCGGCTTCAGGAGCGTACGGCATTCGGTTTCAGGTTGCGTTTCAACTATCGGTGGGTTTCCGACGGCATCTCCCTGCATTGCGCATCGACTCAGTCAGTCTGCCGTTTCCGCGTTCACTTTTTTTCATACGAGGCATGATCGTCCGCCACGAAAAATTGCAAGAGGTCAAAGGCAGCCAGGTTTTGTTTCAGTTCCGGCGTTCGAAATTGACACATAGCCAGGGTAGCCAGGGATCATTGGTTCGCGGTGGTTTTGACTAAACTGCGGTCTCTTTTGAAGCGCTCCCACATACATGACACCCACTGCATCTGCATACTCAAACCGCGATGGGCGTCTTGTAAAGTAGCGCGGGCCGCGGTGATTAAGGTTTGTCACATCATTCTTTTGAGTCGTTCTCCATCTTTCT